CTTATGGTCACTGGTTGTTGGTTTGGACTGTTTGTCATGATCTTAGTTTTCTTTGTTTTTATTCTCAGTCCCACCATTTCTGCTATGCTGTGTAGTTTGTTATTTTTTCTTGTATATGTTCATGTTTATGTGATAGGAGTGCTATATCATCTGCAAAATCAAGGTCCTCAAGCATGGTGAATGGAGTCAATCGTATGCGTTTCAATGTCTTGTCTACTGTGTTTTTTAGTATCCAATCAATCACAAGGTTGAAGAGGAGAGATGACATGACACATCCCTGTCTTTACTGGGAAAGATGTATTGTAATTTTTTATACTGCAGGAAAAGTCTTTATAGAAGAGAGCAATTATGCTGACTATTTTTTCTGGAATTCCATAATGTCGTAAAATTGTCCAGAGACTGTCTCTATGGACGCTGTCAAAAGCTTTCTCAAAGTCCACAAAATTAATATATATATACTTCTCTGCCATGCATTGCATTGTTTTAAAATGTTACGTATGGCGAAGATGTGCTCAGTTGTTCCTCTGCCCTTTCTGAATCCTGCTTGTTCCTCTCGTAGGCATTTATCTACTCCTAAGGAGTAGATAACAATTTGCTTTGGGTCTAAATAAAAAAAAAATTTTTTTTTTTTTTTACATAAAAAAGCCAGAGCCAGATTTGACCCCTCTTCTTCTTCTTTGTGGTCACCAGCTGTAAACTCTAGTGGAAAGCTCTGGTTGTTCGTCCACTTCTGGACGGCAGCCCTGTCCAGAACCTGAGAGTTGCGTGTGCATTCGTTTGACAGATCTGACACATTTGTGTGCAGACTGCTGGTTTCCTGTCTCTCAGACAGATGCACCCCGACATTGAAGGAGATTTGAATAAAACAACTGGAGCAACAGGCAAATGTCTCGCACCTTCGCACAAGTAAACTTGTCAATGGTTTAATGACTACCAGCAGCATGACGATGGAAGTGATGGCGGTGACACACACTTTCATGTGGCTGGAATCATAGGACTATAGCCACGTGTGCGTGTGTGCGAGCGAGCTGAATATTTCTGAGTATAATCTAGCCAGTCGAGGCAGGCTCTGTACGCAGAAAGTGGACTGAGTCAATGAAAACTTCACAGCGTGAGGAGTTTTCATCTTTGTCCAGTGATCATGGGAAGATAAAAATCAGCAATTCTAGATTACCACAGATATAAGACTTAAGAAGATGTAAATTTAGAAATCAAAACACAACAGGGAGGTGGATTTGACACGTTTTCAGAAGAAAGAAAGAAAGAGAGATGACCGAGACAGGCAATACAATGGATACCAGAAGGACAGCAAGGAAAAGGCAGGCCCAGAGGCACTTGGAGGCGAACCTTTGAGGCTGAACTCAAGGCTACGCAACGGACAAAACTGAAGATAAGAGAGGATGGCTCAGGATCGAACTAAGTGGCAAAAGTTTGTCTCTGCCTTATGTGTCTCTTGGCGCGATGATCGATTGTCCAATGATATGCGATTGTTCTTCTGTTGATGCCGATTTCTTCTGTGTCAAGTTCTTTGATCAGGGGATAACATGCAATGTAGTGTGTGTTCTTTGGAGTTAGTTGGTAGAGGCTCTAAGCTACTTTAGAAGATGAAAGGCGGGAGAAAAGATAATTCCAACTGGAGTCGCCAAAACAGCACTGCAGAAGGCTATGAAATAATTTTTCCTTCATAAATTTATTCTGAAGTGATTAAATTCCACGTGTATCCACGGGGCCCTATTATAGGGGAAACAAGAATAGGTCGACTGCCTCCCTAACAAGCATGTCGTAAGAGTAAACACATTTTTTTTCGAAGTCGGTGTACATCTGTATGAGAGGCTAGAAACCAACAGCCTGCACTGCATAAAATAAGCCAGATCAGTGAAACAGAAGTACACGCAACACTCAAGTTCTGAAAAAGACTACTGTCTAGAAGTGGACGAATAAACAAAATTTTCCACCAGAGTTTACAGCAGGTGAACGTGAAGAAGTTACTAAACAAAGAACAAAAACTAAATACACACAATTCTGTCATCTTTCCCAAGTAAAAGTTTAGTGACATAAAATACAACTGACAAATGATAAACAATTAATGCATATGCTGGATAAGATGGCCAAAACAGTTCTAATATAATAAAATCACATTGTGACTGAAACAGGTCATAATGAACGTGTAAGTCTCTTGAAAAAAACTTTCACTGCCAAAAACAGCCTTTATTATACCACTTTTGCTGTGTAGGCATGGGGTTTTAAGCTTAAGGATTTACATCCACATGGCTAGTGCTGTCACCATGACTGTGCAGGTGAGGATTTTATTTTGCCCCCAACAGAAAAATCCTAAGCCTTACATACTGAGGACTCGAACCCAGGTTTCCCGCTTGAGAGCCCAGTGTTCTAACCATTCAGCCAGCCGCTCCTCACAACATTCACTGAAGATGGTAAATTGGATGAAAAAATGTGACATCCGATGCAGTAAAGCAGGCCAAGTATTGGGACACTAGCACTCCTCTTAAAGCATAAGGCAATCCCAATCAGCACAAAGAAACAGCATACAAAGCATATACATGCCACCCTTTGCTACCAGTGCCAGACGTGGTCACTGACAACAAAATATAAAAGAAAATTAGTAACTATGGAAATGAGGTGTCTGAGAAAGACTGTAGGAGTGACAAGAAGAGATAAAATCAAACAAGATAAAGTTGGCACAGAAACAATTCTAAATTACATACAAAGACAGCAAATTAAATGGTTTGCTCACTTGGAGAGAATGCCTTCTGATGCTAAACCCTACAAGGTATACACCAAAAGAGGGCAGGGGATGTAGAGCAAGAGGTAGACCAAGAACAATCTGGAAAGATATCAGAGAAACTCTACAGTACCACAATGTGTTTATGGTTGAAGCAGCTAGAAGATCACAAAGCAGGAACTTATATCTTCCTTGACACATGAAGTGGTAAAAGAGAACGTACAGAAGACATATGTATAATATACACACTAACAGTAAAAAGTCCTTTTGCTTTACCTGTTAGGCCTTTGTGATATCAAAGTCAGCCTGTTTATCTGTGTAATCTTTGTCCAAACATTGTTTTATATTTCCTTTTAATATAGGAAAGTTTTAAGACATTTTCCACATAGGTCCTCTGTACTCAAACTTGCAATTTATTGAAAACATTGATATACTGTTGTCATAACTTTGTTTAATAATAAAATATTGCATGTCACCCCACATATACACACTCTAAATAACACAAAAACTGTTTTTTAAATGATAGTATCATTTGAATACCCACAATTTAACACTCAATAAAGGTTAACAAAAATATAAATGCATTGTTATCATTTTTTTGTATCTTTTTCTTCTTCACTGCATCTGCTGGTGTAAACCCCAGCAGAAAATTATGGTGGTTCGCCCACTTGTGGATTGTGCTCTTGCTCCAGAACTTGAGTTTTGCATGCACAACTGTTTTACAGATCTGGCTTATTTGTATGCAGAACAGTAGTTCCTCGCCTCTCAGACTTCGAAGGAAATACCCCTAATTAGTCGAATTTTATGACATGCTTATTCAGAGCCAGGGAGTCCATTCTTGTTTTGTCTCCTGGTATTGGGAATATACAATTCAAACTCTGAAACTTGAATTTTCGGCTATGATCCGAATAATGGTTGGTTAAGATGGCGGCCGCAAAATATCTGTTTGAGCCACAGTCACGTGACCTAATTTGCGGTTCTCCGGCGGTTTCCGCCACCGCCACGAGTCCCCCACGCTGCTCACGCGGCGTGGATTGGGGCTAAACTAGATGACTAGGACTCACGAGCAAAGCTTCAGGAGATGCGGAAGCTGCTGCTCATGGGTCCTAGCCATCTAGTTTAGCCCCAATCCACGCCACGTGAGCGGTGTGGAGGACTCGTGGGGGTGGTCGCCAGAAAATCGATGGAGAACCGCAAATTAAGTCGCCAGAAGTGCGCAATTGACACGTGACTGTGGCTCAAAAGAATATTTTGCGGCCGTTATCTTTACCGACCATTATTCGGAGGATAGCCGAATTTTCTAATTTCTTGTACTGGTTGTTGGTCACGCCTCTTTTAGATGTCTTTTATAGTTATATCATAATCATAGGCCATGCTGAAAAGCCTAGGCTGTCATGTTTGGCTATCTCAATAATCAGAACCATGACTCTGGCCTGCCTTCCTGTCTTGCTCCATCTACATGGCTCACCCATCCAGGTACTATCTCTTTGACTTTTCTGGCTCTCTTTTCATCATTCTTGCCCATCATTTCTACGTTTTCAAGCCATTTTCTTCTCATAACATGTCAGAAAAACACTTACTGTCTACGGTGAATTGTTCTTATTGGTTTACACGCATCACATGCAACTTTTCATCTGTCACAATGGCTGCCATGTCAGTGCGTTAATGTCGAAAACACTGTTGCTAATCAACATGATAGACTAAGTAAGACTGAGTAACCTTCGGAACTGTCTGGTGCCCCAAAATAAGATAGACCAAATAAGACTACATAAACTCCGGACAATGTATTGACTGGCACTCACAGAAAGACGTATCCTTTTCTATCTTTCTATGAGTGCCAATCAATACACTGTCTGTTTATTACATTTAATATGTATACAGCCTCAAGGGTTCCCTATCTTTCTACTTCTTTCTATAAGTGCCAATCAGTACATTGTCCGTTTGTTTATTACATTTAATATTTATATGGCTTCAAGAGTTCCCCCTCTCTTTATTTATGTAAAAAAGCAACCTCTGGAATTGTCAGGTCCCTAAAATAACTGCTACAGGTTGAACAAGATTTCTTGGATTTGCTTCTGTTGGATTCTCATCCGAATAGTGTTTACTTGAGCCACTGGATGCTAATCATAGAAGAGACAATTTTTAAAAATAGAACAAAATAATGAAAGTTATATTAAAAATCGGTAATCTATGTTGCAATTTAAATATTATCCATGTAACATCTAAATAGTCTGTACAACAAAATCCTCAATGGCTGAGATCACAACAAACTGCCTTTTTGTGTATACAGCAGACACAAAATATTACTGAGTGCGTTTCCCAAATTCCTGAAAATTGAAAGGGAAAATGAATTAATATTCACATGATAACAATTGACAGAGAATATTTCTTGATGGAAGCTGAAGTGATCTTTATTGAAATGACAATTAAGAAAGAAAGCAAATTTGGAACAAAAATAAAAGACCTCTTCTGAATATCGGTCAGCGTGACGCTGACCACATTATGGACCGAGCGCAGATTGGTCTATAAAGTATAGATTTAAGACTCTATACCCAATTTACGCCTCACAGCACGGAAACAGGTGCTTTCACTTTACCCCCTGAAAATGAATATATAATCAGTAACTGATTCACCTCACTTACTGCATAATGTGGAGGGGAAAGATCGCAACTGTTGAAGATGTTTCTAGAAACATTAAAATAGTAAGTTACAAAGTAAAACAAATAAATGAGTGTATAACATTCACGTCTGATTAGCGATCAGTAGGATCACAGCCCTGCGGACAGATCAACCGGTGCTCCTGTCTCCTCAATATCTCCGCAAGCGTTAAAAAAATCACTTGTGAGAATGAACATACAAACACATACACACTACTGTAAAATAAAAAGACCAATAACAAAACATAGAACCAAGCCTTCAGGCGTATTGGGTATATAGGGTTAGACCTACATTTTATAGACCAATCGGCACTTAGTGGGTGACGTGGTCAACATCACGCTGGCCACCTTTACCTCCCAGGACTCTACCTGGTAGCCATTTAAGGCTGGGTCGACCTGGGAGTTGAGGTCTTTTTTGAACAAAGTCAGGCTCCGTCTGGACCCGACCCTTGACTTTCCAATCCACAGGTGAGTGTCTAGCCAAATGTCACATGACCAAACCAAATATAGCCATATCAAATGTTAATTTAACCTATAAAAACGTATTGTAACATACTGTAACAGCCATATAAATCATCATCATGTAGCAGGTCCTTTGCAGAACATAGCTCTCATCATGGTCTGCCTGAAAGAAAATTAAGTCTCTCACCAGCTCTCCCACCCAAGGAACTTTGTTATTGATTATTCCCATTTATTCATTCCTATAAACATTTTTAAAATATAAACCAGTTTTTTTTATTTTTTTTATTTATAAGTGACCTGTGTAGAATGGTTTTTTTTTCCCTAAAGCACCCCCCACCATTCCCAGGGTCATTTTTTTAATCTAAAAGGCTTCTGGAAAAAAAAAGGATAAAAGCTGACATCACAACATTCAGGACTTTTGCCTAAGCGACCATTCCCATCTTCAGCAGCCAGTGAACAGTTCCAGTTCTGGTGGAACTAGAAGCAGTTTGATTGTAAGCCTGTCTTGGCTTTACCCTGTGTTGGCCTGCTGCAGATATTCAGTGAGTTAAGAAAGATAAACTCGACGCTGAATCAACATTAAACTTAATTCTGTTTAAAGCTGAATGTGAACTCCCAAAAACTGTTAAGTTAAACAAGAGATTTCCCTAGATCAGGGCTATTCAAGTGGCGGCCCGCAGTCCAAAATCTGGCAAGAAGAGGCCTAGTAAGTGGCTGCAAATCAATGCCAGTTGTACCGTATTAATGATCTGTTAATGTTTGGGCTCGGGCCACTGGCCCATGACATTCCCCACTTTTTAAAATATTGGCCCCTGAATAAACTTAATTGAATAGTCCTGCCCTAGCAGGTGTAGTTATTAAAGTAGCCAAAGAAGACCAAGACATAACTGTCTAAATAAACAGAATTAACCAACCTTTCTTTCTTTCCACACTTGATCCCTGAGAGCAGTTTTTGTCTATCTTTATCATCTGCACATCTTTCATATGCTGTCATTAAGCTGTACAGAAAATCATGTGGAACAAACAAATAAATAAACCTTTTTTTTCTTTCAAGGGGCTGAGAATTGGGCACACAAGCCCGCCCAACATTCTGCTCTTTTCAGCATCTCATTCATACATTATTTCATAGGTAATAATAAACACCCTCAATGACATCTAAGACTATATACAAATGCTGGAATGCACTCTAATTATACTGAAGACTCTAAACAATAATAATTTTTAAGCATAGTAATTATAATAAATCTAGGGGAATTAAACAATATGCTTATGTGGATGCAGCTGTCATCATGCAACATCTTTAAATCTACATCTGTCGTCATGCAATATCTTTAAATCAACATTAAATTAGAGGAATTTCTGTGAAACATAACTGCTTATGTTTCAAGTCCCCATTTACGTCACAGTCAACTAGTCAAACAATTGTTTTTCACCTTTATTTGTCCAGAATTTCTTTTACTAGGATAGCTGTCTCAAGCAGTGTCAAAGGACACATTACAATCTCAGGGGTGACCTGGTTTGTGTCAGTTCCATCCACAGGCGATGCCCCACAATTAGCCCACCCAGAACAGGTATACGCATGTCGCTAATTCCTGTGATGACATATGCCATCTCTACCATCTAAAGAGACTTACATTACTGTAGATCATGGACTATTCAACTAAGTTTAATCAGGGGTGCACATGCTGAAAATAGGGTTCATCATGAACCAAAGCACCGAGCCCTAGCATAGAAAGATCAATAATACTATGCAACTGGCTATGATCTGCGAGCCACTTGCTAGGCCTCCGCAGGCCACCAGTTGATTAGCCCTGCTGTAGAGTCAACACACATGCCCTGATTCTGAGATCACCCAAAGAATCAAATCTTCAGAACACACAAAAGCATAGGCAGAGAGTCAAATACACAAACAACTTAACAAAATATTATCAAGTCACTTTGAAGGGAGAAAATGGTGATGGTACTTACTGTGAGAATGATGGATAGGCAGAGGTTATGGCTTTGGCTCTGTCTGCAGACACCCCAGGCACCTGTATCAGATGTTTAGCAAACAGTTCTCTGACAGAGAGATCCTGGCAGAAATCAACACAACCTCATTGTTAGCAACGGAAGGTGAGAGAGGGAGATAAGATGTTTAGCAAACAGTTCTCTGGCGGAGATCCTGGCAAAAATCACTACAATCTCATTGTCAGCAAGGGAGGAGAGGAAAAGAGATAAGATGTTCAGCAAACAGTTCTCTGACAGAAATCAACACCGCCTTATTGTCAGCAAGGAATGAGAGGGAGGGGATAGAAAAAAAAAACACTGCTGTATGACAAATAAACAATTTTCTTATTTAAGGCTCAATAGAACAGACTTCTGGAATTAGACTGGTCTTGTCAGCATCATTCAACCCACTTTAGGACCTTGATATGTCCTGCAGAGAATAACTCATTGCACATGGACAGCTCCATAAGTACTCTTCAATAGAACAGACTCTTCTGGAATTAGACTGCTCTTGTCAGCAACATCCAGACCCACTTTAAAACTTGTGACTTGATTTGGTTTGTAAGGAAAATCTTTCACTGTACATGGCTATCTCTGTACATGCTCGCTTTCTCCCACGGATCTCCCAAAGAGAAACTTAGCACAGTGCACAAACTCTGTAGTATCAGCAAAGTTATAAATAAGTCTACATCGGTCTTACTTTGATCCTTGGACCATGTGGGTTCCAATTCAAGAACATTCTAGTTAAATTATCATCAGATTTTCTCACTGTTTCCTATTTAGCCTGATCTTTTCCTCACCACTTGATTCATCGCAGTTTGTTATTCTTTTATACAAAAGCTTGACTTTTCCATAATGTAAGGACAACTGAAGCACTATTTAACAAAGTAAGTAACGGACAGTTTTCATGTAACTGGCACATAAAAATTTGATGCTAGGCTTTTAAACGCTAGCAATGCTATATGGATAATTTCAGCAACAAGCCAGCCACCTTTACTTCCCAAGACACTGTTTCAAGCTGGGCTGACCTAGGAACCATGGTTATTTTTATAAAAATCTTCCCAGATGCTGATTTGAACTCAATACCTTTACACTGGCAGGCATGCTTCTAGCTGGGGCTCTCATTCAAACCAGTCGCCTTGAGAAGCTGCAAAAGTGAAACTTCCAGTTGGGTCCAATTCCCCTAAAAGTCATTTTTCCGACTTGGCTATAATGACCTGATCATGAGACAACTAGCTAATAGCACTGTTATTGAAAACAGGACCAGAAATAACTATATTTATTAAAAATAGCATTCAAAAGGGTTTTTAATGTGAAAACATGGTTTTATTAATAGAAATTAATTTTCGATATTCCCATCTGTCACAGTGTTAACCTGTGACCAGGTCACAAAATGAAAAACGAGTCACTGAAAAGATTTATTTTAGATCATCCCAGTTAATTCTCTGCTGCATTTGTGTTTACTAATGACACCCTGTATTCTGCATGCAATTCAATATTGCTGTGGACGATAAATGGAATTGTGATGGGTGCCTTTGTTTATTAAAAAAAAATATTTTTCTTTTTTAGTAATTCCTTAACTATGAGCCATTGGTAATATTATTTCTAGGTCACCAGGGTGATAGGGTTAACGATGACATGCAATGAAAAATGTGACAGAGAACTATACCTTTTGTTTTACTGAAGCCTCATTGAACACATCAAAAGGGATGAGATAATGTTCTTGTTTTTGTAAGGGCTGCTGAATCCTGAGAAGTTTCAATTGGTCCAAGGAAACCGCATGAAGTGTCTTTGTCTGATAACAGAAAGAAAAAAAAAGAGAATATGAAAGCATTATGGAAAATTCTCAGATTCATGACACGAAATAGAATTACCTACTCCATTCTCCACGGAAATTAAAGTCACAAACAGACTTAATATCATTATGAAAAACAAGTAAAATGGAAGCCAAACTCAAAATACTGGGTTGTTCATAAGCAGTGTCTATTTAGTTAGTTAGTTAGTTAGTTAGTTAGTCTTTCCTCTTGTGTCGAGTGCGGCACATAGGGCAGAGGTCATGACTCTCCATGCATGGCGGTTCGTTGCAATCCGTTGTAGGTCTTGGATGTTTGAGTGGCCCATGAGCGAGCCTTCCCTGATGATAGTTCTACGTAGGGTTTCCCTTGGTCTTCCACGAGATCTTTTCCCCTGTGGTGTCCAAATGAGGGCTTGGTAAGGAAGTCTTGATTTATCCATTCTAAGGGCGTGGCCGACATAGTTCCAGCGGCGTTTTCGTATAAAATTAGACACATACTCTTGCCTGGATTCTTTAAACTGTCTATTAGTCTAATAGACAGTTAATTTAGCCAAAGTGTCTATTAGTCTATTAAAACACCCATTTGTGCAAGAAAATTTGAACTGACATTTATGTAATAAGATCTAGGTCTGTAAGCTGCCTCTTGTTGGCTTCTAAAGGAATAGCCCTTGACGAAAGCAAAGCCTAATACACAGAAATGAGGTTAAACAGTCATGAGCAGGATGTGACGATTTCTTGGGTGACCCGTACCAGAGCACCACGTACTGGCTCTGCATTTATGGAAGCCTCCAAGCACAGTGGAGAATGCTCATGTTGTGCTCCTGCCTTCTCCTGATACGGTTGTTCTGGACCAGTGTGATGGCGGCACCACCTGTGAACTAGAAAACAGATGACCCCACAACAATCAGACTGCTGTGTCCCACAAAACTAGATTGGAAGGCTAACTTAGGGCAACAAATGCCTGCAGAAGTCAGATGTGTCAGCTGAAAGCGGCAAATATTGCAGCCATGATGAACGCATAAGAAGTTAACAAATCCACTATTATAAATCTAGTTCAGTGCTTGTTAGTTCCAATTTAAAAATATAAAAGCAGACCCTCGGCAGAAAACTGGAAATCATCTGGTACAAATTTACGTAGCTAGGTCGACCCCTAGAAGTATACTGACTGGGAAAAGGAACCAGCCATGCCAATGGTGAGGATTGAGCCTAGACCCTTGTGTTTATAAGCAAATTCACTAACCATTACACCGTCCAGGTGATGTGATTATCCATACAGATGGCTCTTTGTTCAGAGGCAAAAGAAGCATTTAGAGGTTTACTGCGAAAGCGAATGAATGATGCTTACTGCAACAAAGTCTAGTGTGTGATTTAATAATATCTCCTTTAAGAATGGAAGTGGAGGCAGTCACAGCAGCTTTCTGCTAGCTTGAGAACCACTGAACACACATGTTGTGATTGTAACCGACCCACAGAGCATGTTAAGAAAGATGGAGACAGGCATACACTGTGCACAGCGGCAAGCATAATTTCAGGTGTCATCAGCATTTTTTTTAAATAAATTTATACGGGGTAAAGTGGAGTGTTGGGAAATGAACAGGCAGACAGACTGGCTGGTCCTGCAGCAATGAGTGATGATTTCATTATTAACAAGCTGGATGTAATCAAGGCCCTTTGGCAGCAAGTACACAATGTGCAGGCAGGAATAGATTATTATGGTGGAGAAAGACTGGTACAGCCAGAAGTGACCAAGGGATCTGGTCGACAGTCTACACTCAGAAAAAGGGTAAGATGGACATATAATCAAACTGCTACTGGCAGCATCAGAACTCTTCATTGGCTGCTGAAGATGAGGAAGGAGCATGTATAGGAATGTCGTGTGTGCTCTGATGTCAGTTTTTAGCTCAACATTCGACACACTAGCAGGACTCTTAGTTTTAATTTGAGCGAAGTAAAGAACACTTTTCATTCTGTACAGGGTACTAGATCTATGTTTTTATAGACAAACTGGCACTCGACAGGAAATATGATCAACATCACACCGGCCACCTTTATTTTCCAGGACATTACCCTGATACCCTTTTTAGCCTCAGTCGACCTGACAGCAATCGCAAGTTTTGAAAAAATCCAGTTTAAATGTACACACATATAAATAAAGATTTGACATAGTCCAACTATCCTACTGTGTGCAGTGAAAAGTGTTACAGAAATAATCTGAATTCATGGACTTACACTGTAATGCTGAGTCAGAAAATGGGTCATTGTGGATATATATGTCACAGCATCCTTGGCACTTGCACAACGTTTCACTTTGAAGCCGTCAATGACCTGAGGAAGTAAGATGACGAGTTCAACACTCTGAACTTCCCCATTAATGATTCAGGAAGATATTGACCACTCCACCTGGTTTTATAAACAAACATCCCTTATAAGCGATATCAATCATCATAAGATAGCAGGTCTTTAGCAGAGCATAGTCCAATCGAATCATTATTATAGTTCCATAATACTACAGGACTGTGGGTCACCAGTTACTGTTTGCTGTCTGATCAGTTCCCTCCATCTTTGTCAGTTAGATACTCCAATAACAGCCCTCCAAGAATTGTTTCCTCTTCAGTCAATCCTCTGCCTTATACATTTGTATATATCCAAAATGTTTCCAATATCTTATGTCTATGTTTGTGTGGGTTAATTTCTTCCGGGACTCATGTTTCCATTATTCTTTCTTCTAAACCCAAGTGCCATTTTATAAAGCTAAAGTATTTCAGTGTGCCAGACTTGACGCTTTTTAGCAGTCAATTTTATTTCATGTTCTGTGCTTGCAGAATGTCTTCTTGACCCATGGTATTCTATTAGGAACTAGCGTGGTCACTTTTTGTACTCATTTTATGGGAGAATAATATATTTACAAGAAAAACAAACACGTTTCAGTTTTCGCACTGAATTACATCTCTTTTCCTTTCCATCTGCCAGTGCAGCAGAGATCCTTAAGCAATTCATGCCAGGCCTTGTGTACGATCATGCAGCTAAAGTTTTATGTCAAATGAGATTACTAGTCTCCCAGCAGCCATCCTTGAATGCCTCATACGCCATGCATGATTCGCGACAGTGTTACTCTGGTTCCCTCAAAGGCCCCGGTAACACACCAGCTGACAAAATAACTTGTAAAAAATCTATATAAATGTGGGACACCTGGGAGTTGACGATGGACTGTTTGATGCGATCCTCCGATATGCTGAAGTTCTTAATGCTTCCGTACTCTTCAATGAGTATGATGGGCTCACTCAGTCCACAGTGTTTCAGACGAAACTGTAGAGAGATGAGTGTGAAACGATAAGTAATTTCGTTATGCCACAACATATAACAGACCGGCAACATAAACTAACAACATAACATGATTCCTACAACAAACAAACATTAAAAAAAAACTAGTAAAAACAAAAATACATGTATATATTAATGAAAAATGATTACTTATTCACTCTGTCTTGTAACCCTTCTTCTTTATTCACTCCTGCGAGGATAGTTGGCATTTTTTTTGTGTGGTTTACAGCTGGACTGTGATATCTGCACATTTTGGTCAAAAATATCAATTTTCAGCAACCTCCTAAAGATGCTTGTTGGGGGGTGGGGGGTCTATTCACACAAGTATTCTGCCCTTACGACACCAGACAGCACCTTGTTGCTATATACACAGCACGCACTTTCAGACTACAAGGAAGAGTTACTACAGCCATAAGCAACAGTTAAAAAAATCTATCTCTGTGACCCTGGAACAACTTCAGAAAACCGTCAGCTCCTCCATCAGGACAGCACTGGGTTGCCAAGAGTAGACAATTTAACAGCACCAGCACTTTTTTTTCTCTACATTCGTCCTTAAAAGTGCAGTTGGCACACTTAGTGGTTGTGGTTTCCAGCCCAACATATCCAGTTTAGCCAAATGTTAATTAGTTGCCTGGTGTGATGCTTGTTGCAGTGAAATGATCAGTTACACACAAGCTGACATTGAGAGTAATGAAACTGGAAGGAAATAAAGTGAGGAATGGGAAGGAAAGGTGTTGAACCACTCATGGTGCTGCACCAGGACCAGGGATCACAATGATCAAGACATAGCTCCGTCTCTTTGGCCATCCTAGAAACCGGCTCCCAACAAGTGGTGGTCACCAAAGTAGAACGGTTCCTTAGAAGTCAGTGTGAATTTGTATAAGAGGCAAAGAACCATCAGTCTGCCCACAGATAAGCCAGATCTGTAAAACAGATGTGAATATGTTAGTATGGTGAAGAACATCTATGCTGCCTTCATGCAGAGATAGGAGAAAAAACCACCAACTCCTCATGGGAACAATCAGTAGAGGTACCTTGGAGTGACAGCTGCCTCAGAGCACAGAGCATGCCAGGTAAGCCCACGGTGCAGTAACGTCGACTGTGACAACATAAGATGTGCATGCTAAACTTAAGTCCAGGAGCAAGATGTCAATAAGAGGACAAAAACCAGGATTTTCTGTCAAGAGTTTACAGCCGATCAACACGAAGAAGAAAAGTGAGGATTAGTGCTGATTACTCCACCTCATGGTTCTGGGAACTAGCTGTCCTACTACTTCAAACCTCAACATTAGCATCCATCACAGAATAACCCGGAACTTTTTACCAGAAATAACAGCACCAGAATCATGCAGATCTTGTCTATAGCCTGTTGACATTACCTTTTGTTCTTTCATTCGTCCATCTGTCATGCTGCTGACCAAATCGTCCATCCGTTTCCTCTCTATGATATAGTGCAGTACCAGCTCCCTGCCCTTTCTGTATCAACAAGACATAACAGTGAGGATTAACACCTACCAACAAGACATAACAGTGAGGATTAACACCTACCAACAAGACATAACAGTGAGGATTAACACCTACCAACAAGACATAACAGTGAGGATTAACACCTACTAACAAGACATAACAGTGAGGATTAGCACCTACCAACAAGACATAACAGTGAGGATTAACACCTACCAACAAGACATAACAGTGAGGATTAACACCTACTAACAAGACATAACAGTGAGGATTAACACCTACCAACAAGACATAACAGTGAGGATTAACACCTACCAACAAGACATAACAGTGAGGATTAACACCTACTAACAAGACATAACAGTGAGGATTAACACCTACCAACAAGACATAACAGTGAGGATTAACACCTACCAACAAGACATAACAGTGAGGATTAACACCTATCAAAAGGACCTTCTTCACACCAGTGGTGCATCCGACATATGGTGCTAAACCCATATCTTTATAGACTAATTTGTTCACAATACAATGGGTGATTTGGTCAACATCAAACCTGCCGCCTTTATTTTCCAGGAAATTTCTTAGTTCAAATTTTACGCCAGGTCAACCTAGGAGCCAAGGCTAAAAATAAAATATCTGCCTTAATGCAGATCAAAACCCAAAACCCACGAGCTGACAGGCGAGCATCTAGCCAATGCCTGCCATGAAACCCTGCCACTAACACTTCCCCCTGGTGACCTAGAAAAAACAACAAAGCCAAGCTTCTGTAATTTCCATTTTTCGGATATTTCCCCAAAAATCCTAAGAAAAAACAATTTTACACGTCATACAGACAAAAAAATCCTCACAATCAATTTATCATCCAAGAATACTGTAGTGGATAAGGGAACTCGTTACTAACAGAGAATCAACTGGTCTCATCGGGGTCTTTAAACTATTTACATTGTGTCAACTATTTTACCCTGAGACACCGTCGACCATAACAACAGTAGCCAATATGACAAATATGTCTTAGAAATTTCCATTAAATTTCCATGTGAGGAAAACAAGAATAGACTCACTGCCTCCCAAAGAAGCATGTCGTAAAGGTCTACTAATTGGGGGTTTTCTACAAAATCAGAGTGAGTCTGCCTGAGAGGCAAAGAACCAACAGCCTGTATACAAATAAACCAGATCTGTAAAACAGATGTGAACACAACCCTCAGGTTCCTGAACAAGACTAAAGTCAAAGTGGATGAACAACCAGAGCTTTCTAACAGAGTATACAACCAGTGAATGTAAAAAAGTAGAAACTCTGTCAACTAAATGTCTCGCAAACATGTCACTACAGTGAGGCTGGAAAGCGACCTTTATGGGAAAATGGTACCAGCCAGAAGTGTCTGTTTTATGGCTTCTCGCAATGGGGCCCCGGAACCCACAGGGGGAGAGAAGGATTCGAATACATGACCTCTGGGTTGGCAAGCGAAATGTCAGTCAGTACCATCCATTATTACTACTTAATCACAGACAGAGAAAAGAATGACAGCCTACCTCTCAAGGCGTTGTCCACCTCTTTCCCTGGCTATCCACAACAGGTCTCCCACATGCAGAAGTCGAAGGTCACACGTTATTCCACATTTCATCAAATCGGGAAGCAGTGTTTTACTGCAGCCTTTGCTAAAAATCACCACAAAACAAGAAGAAAGCATGGAATAAATAAATCAACATGAAAATGCTGCAACAAGAAACAAAGCTGTGCTTAAACAAGATAAAAGTAATGTATAAAAAGACAGGACCTTGTTCTGGAAGTTGGAAGGTTAACTGCAAATCATCCGGAAGTGCATTTGAACTCTTATGTCTGACACAAGGGTGTTAACCCTGTCGGAAAAAAAAGAATAATCTAGCTACTTTTGGCTGTGCCACAGTCCTCAAATGTGGGTGTATTTTCATGTCTGCAATTACCTGTTCTTTAAAACAGTAGTTACATTCCCCTGATTCTATGTGTGCATGAGAAGTATTTAGTAGGCCCATATTTGAAAAACACAGCTTTTAAGGGATTTCGTTATGGCCCTTTTAAAGCCAAGTTAAGGTCAAATTCTCCACATAAGCCTCAGTGATAGAGATCATGTGGTCACAGCATAGTCATTCGATACACGTTTGCTTTAGACCCCAAGAAATCTATTCCATTTAATACTTCACTCTGCTTATGTTTACTGATTACCCCTTTTATATATATTTTGGAGAACAAATTAACATGTTGTTATATAAATAATTTTTTAAACTTTATAAGGGACCTGTGTAAAATGAGTTGAGAATACTGGGAGGGGAGGGGGGGGGGCTACATTCTTTAAAGCTTTCAAAGGGCAAAGAGGTTAATGATGTAGAACTGGGTCACTTTCTTTGCGTACTAAAAAAACAGTCCTGATTATTAGGGCTGTACCGAATAGTGATTTTCACTATTTGGCCGAATACGAATAACGGGACCAACTATTCAGCAGAATACGAATAGTGTGTATAAAATATATTCCCCCCCCACCCCCCAAAAAAAACCACATTCATAATGTCAGATGTGCAGTGAACTTTTACTTCACATAAAGTATCACAGAATATTCTTCTTCTTCTTTAGCATTCTGAGCCCTTGAGGTTTACTGCTGCAGACTGTTCTTGAAAACCTATAATAAGGCCTCATCTTTTTCATTGCTGCTTCAAGTTTCAGAGCCATATAAAACGACTAGTCTTATCAACGTTTTATATATTTTGATCTTGGTGTTGCGAGACAGACAATTGGACTTTAGCAGATGTTGAAGGGCATAGTATACTTTATTTCTAGATTGTATTTCTTCCCTCAGCATGTTGGAGCAGTTTAAGTTTGCACCGAAGTACTTATATGTTTCTGTTCGTTTGATTTTCACATTATCGACTTGGATGTGGCCGGAGTTTATATTCTTTCCATGTCTAGTTAGTATTCGTACAGAATAGTAAACATTTAAAAACATTTTATGTTTTGCATCCTTTAGTCAGTCTGTGGTAACTAATAACTAGGAATGAAAGAATCCTAAGTATTATAACAAGTAACTAAACTTGGAAATTATCACTGACAGCTTAGTTAATGCAGGAAAGCTGCATTAGCTTTCAACAAAACCAGTCTTTCCATATTGTCAGCATTAAGGCCGTGTATGGAGAAGCGGGTGTAAGGTAACTACTATTCGTATTCGGCCTGACCGCAACTATTCGGCCAAATACCGAATAGTCAATAGGTTCACTATTCAGCCCCAAAGCAAATACGAAGTGAATATTTGGTACAGCCCTATTGATTATGGAAAAGACATAAAATATACCACAGTTATACGTATATATGTATGAGCTGTAGATATGTAGTGGGAAAAGTAAATTGTTTTTGTGGTTTTCAGGCAGCAACCTGAGAGTCGAAGTATATAAAAAGACGTAATATTTCCAAAGACAGAAGTGGATTCACATATCCACTGCAGCTAACCTTTATTGTGAAGACAGCACCAAACACCCACCCACCCCTTTCCCCAAAAGATGGGTAGTATAAAACCCCATTTTCATCAACTGCCATATCCTCAGTAAAGACGCAGTAAAAGATCCTAGTTTTTCCCATCAGCCATTGTTGCATACAACGCTAAACATCCTGCTATGTGGGTTGGTTGTTCTTTTCTCAACAATGTTTCCAGAGCAGTGAACTTACAGCCAGCGACTTCTTCTTCTTCACTTCCTCTTTTACCGCTGTGGGTGTCGAGGGAGACATAAGGTTCTGTTTCTAGCTCTTCTGGCTGCCTCGACCATAGGCACATTGTGCTGTTGTAGAGTTTCTCTGATGTTATCCTTCCATCTTGTTCTTGGTCTACCCCATGCTCTACGTCCTTCTTCTCTTTCCATGTATGCTTTGTATGGTATGGTGTCACAAGGCATTCTCTCTAAGTGGGCAAACCATTTCACTTGCTGTCTTTGTATGTAATCCAGAATTGGTTCTGTGCCGACTTGTTCTCTTATGATCTCATCCCTAATCCTATCTCTTATGGTCACTCCTACAGCCAGCGACTACTATTTGCAACTGCACATGGGATAACCTGTTTTTGCCCTTATCTGAAAAGAATTAATTTAATTACCCAAGAGGTTGTGGTGAGGTGTAAAAGTGTACTTAATGACTGCTGTAAAATCTCTCAAGCTTGTTATTGGATTCAATCCCTTAAAAGATGGGTGCAGATACCATTAGCTCAACCATATTGTCCTATAGATCAAATGTGGCAATATTGACTTCCTCAGATCACTATGAGACTAGAGTCAACCCAGCATCTCAAACAGACATCATAATCTCACAACCTCTCATATGAAGTTCTCTCACAAAACACTCACGCATTGCTATATAAGTATATTTAAATATTTACAAAATACAAATGAAAGTATAAAATTGAAATACATATGAAAGAAAAACAGAAGGAAATACAGTTATTGGGCACACACTGGATAATGTTTTCTTTCTAAAATATTTTTATAAAATGTACTGACCTTCCATAGAACTCTCTGTTATCAATGCACAAAATGATATCAAAGGAGCCAGGCAGAAGTGTGAAAGAAGGGCAGCAGTCAACTAATGAGGTTGTCTCTGAAGTTGTTATATGTGTAGATAAGCTAGACGTACAAATACCATTTCTGGAGTTCTCATAAGTCCCGGGAGCAGATTTCTCCATTAGGACTGTCATAGGTGCAGTACCGACTGTGTCTGTACCGACTAAATTGTGAGTGTTGTGCACTAAGACACTACTTGAGTAGTGTGCAAAATGTGAAGAGTTATAAATAGGATCCTTATATAATGTATTGCAAGGCTCAGTAGTGGCTTTGTTTGTCTGATGATTGCACATAGCTAGATTATCTTTAACTTGAGAGAAATGATCTTTATGCTGATGCTTTAGTATGATTTCAGTCTTTTGATTAGTGTTACACAACACCTTTTGTGATGTCGAAGACTGAGCTAATGTAGATGCCAGATTTTTCAGAAGACCTGACTCAGCATGGCCTTTCTGTGCCAGGCGTTTCCAAAGAGGAATGTCCAAATCAGGCAGCTCATCACTGTCACTCTCACAGAAGTTTGTAATAGCCACATTTTCAACTTTCTTTGTCACAAATGTATTAATATCATCCATTTTCATTGATAACATTTTATCAGTATCATCATCGCTTATTTCTAAGATGTCCTCATGATATGCAGATGGCGATTTCCCATCAAAATGAAGCGATTTATCAGGATAATGTACTCTTGTTTGATCTATATCTGTGTTTGAATTTCTGACAGACGATGCTGATAATGAGTTAATGGGCTCATCCTGAAGTGAAGGTTCAGAACGAGGTAGTCTGGCCAGACCTGTATACTGTGGTGGAGAAGACTGTGAGGGAGACAACGAATGAAACCTGGCCCAGGTTCTCGTCGGCAACACAGGACTCTTGGCCATATCTTCATCACTCACAACCAGGATGCTATCATTGAGATCTACGCCATCTGAGCCTGCATCTGCTGCTGCAGCCCCATCATGAAATCCTGCAGAATTATACTGATGTCCAACTCTGCTGGCTGGAGTGAATGAAGCTGGCACAGAAGATCTTGCAGCTCTTTCCTGTGAATAGGACAGAAGGCTTTGGGTTACTGCTCTAGCCAAGTCACCATCATCATCATCATCAGTGCTGATATCCTTGTACTGCAAACAACTAAAGTTTGGGGGACTAATCTCATCACTTCTGATTTCCAGATTTCCTGGTGGTAATGAATGTGCCTGTGAGGAATCAGTTCTGCTGCTGACTTGAAGGGGTTCGTTCCTGACATTGTCTTGCACCTCTGCTGAATGCAGTCGCTGCCCTAAGAGATATCCTTCATCAGTTAAAGAGTATCTGAAAGAGAAAAGCAGATGTAAGGCTCTACAGAAGAATTTCAAGAAAAAGCAGTGTGCATTTACTGGCAAATAATAATAACCATTCATTCAATAATAATAACCATTCATTCAGACTATTTCCTCTTCACCATCGTGAAAATGTAATTTACAGAAATGTTTGATTGTGACAGAACTGTACACACAATATTTCACTTTCCCAAACCAAAACATTTTTCATAAAGTATCCAAATCCTATGTTCACAACAGCAGCGAAATTCAAATGCACATAATAATAACTGCACTGTTAGTCAACTGATCACCCTCATTGCACAAGGGGACCATTTGGTGACACTGCACCCTACTAAGCATGTCATAAGAGGCGACTAAGGGTAGGGTTGGGCTTGAGGTTGGCTACCTCATCCTGTAAAAACAATGGATTGTATTGCACTGGGTGTGTGTGTGAGCGGGGGGAGAGAGGGAGTGTCCTGATAATGACAAAGAGGAGAATGACTGCAGATAGATTACCAGCTGAGTATTTGAGAAGCCCAAATTCTGACGGCTATGATAGCCCTGAAATCCCATACATTTATTGTGTATTCTTTTTTCTTAAGGCAAGTTGGTTTTATTAGTGACAAAAAGCTGGTAACAATTCACATGTCATCAGAGATTGAATAAATTAACTCCAAATTGTTCACCCTATAAAAATGCACTGCCCTTGGTCCCTGTGTGGGTTCTGGAGCCCCATTTTGGAGGAGGGAGGAAGGGGGAACAGACCCCTGCTCCTAACAAGCACCCTGTAAAAGGGGACTAATTAAGGATTTGCGGAAATTGGATGTGATGGGCCAAAAGGCGCAGATATCGCAGCCTAGCTGTAAATTACAACTCAACATGCCAGTCGCCCTTTTAAGGGTGGATGTAGAAGAAGAAGAGTCGTCCATAGAAAGACGAGATCGCCACAAAATGCTACGGAAATATCATCATCATCATCAAGTTGAAGGTCCTTTCACTCTCATCATGGCTGCCTGAAAGAAACTCAGTCTCTTTTCAGCTCTCCTGCCTCATGCACTTTCCTACCCAAGGTGTCTTATATCCTGTGCCCATCTTTGTGCTGGTCTGCCCCTGCTCTTCTTTCTTAGTACCATGCCTTCTGCTAGTATTTTTTTACAATCCGTCGTGGTGCTTGATGTGGTCAAAATTTTTCAGTTTCTGAGACAAGATACTGTTTACCAGCCAAACTTCCTTGATATTCAGATCTTTTATGTTGTTATCGATCCAGCGCCGCATGAGCTTTCGCCCTTTGGCCCAATGCCATGTAGTAGAATTTACATGTTTTCACAAGTCAGATCTTTTAGAATATCACTATTTCTTTTCTTCACTGTCCATTGTATTCTAAGAATCATTCTATAACATTTCAGCTCAAAAGCCTCTATCCATAAGTTTTCTATACAGGAATCATCAATAGGGGGCCGCATTAGCGCACTCGATAGGAGACTTGCTTTCAAATCCAGCTGCGACTTGCTGCAGCCCACGGCCAGTGTTCAAAACCAGGCAGTGTCAGGGTTTCACCCAACCTCTAGGTAATGGGTACCAGAGCTAACACTGGGGTAAATGGAGGAACGTCACTGTAGCTACGGAGTTGCGTGCAGACGGCGACACAGGTTGACAGTTTCTTATCAGCTGTCCGTACTGGTGGCAGAGCACTTATGGTTTATAACTGTGTGCAACGACACTGGTTCACATCTCCCGACTTGACCTTTATAGGAATCATCTTTCATTTTGTAAAAAGTTTCACTAATGTGCTATAAAAATGGTTCAATGGGAAATGTTAATAGACAAAGAATCACACCTTACCTGGCCGGGCTATTACTTTTGAAGAAGAAACCTTTTTTAATAAGCACTCCCATGGAAGACCAAGCTGTGTAGTGACTTCCTGGTTCAGGCTAGAAATGTCAATTTTAAAATCATTTACACTAACTTAAAAAAAAATCTTAAAGATATTTGGAGAAATTGGTTTGCTTTATACAACGGAACAACATCGTGGTACAAGGGTAGTAACTCATAAGTGCTCCGTTTTACTATTAACTCAAGCCTGAGTCTGAAGAATCTCAGCCCAGTGCACGAACTCCGTAGCACCAGCGAGGATCCTGAAATACTTTGGGTAGATTTTTAACTCAAAACTTTGCCCAGGCAGTGTCCTTAGGCTACTCTTTTCGATTTCCAACTGCCAAGGGAATTTTTACGGTGAAAAATACACATGGGCGTCTGATCTTACTACCCAGAGACCAGGGGAAATTACTAGAAGTCCATGTGAACATATCCCAGCCTTCATCAATGCCTGAACCCAGGATCTCTAGCACTCGAGGCGGATGCCATGCCTTAAGACCATTCAGCCCCCCGATTTGGATTTTTGTAATCAGCAACTGTAAACCTTAAAGAAAAAAAGAAATATTGTAAAAGGCAACTGATTAGACCTATGCTGAAATTATATGCTTGTCAAGGGGCAGTGGATGTACCCCCCCCCCCCCCACCCACCCTCCAATAATGAGCTGAAGAATTCACACAGGAAGACATCTCATTATTTTCTTGGACTTATTTAACTACTTGCCTCTGTGTTTAGTTATGTCCCTTGTTCACTTCATGTCATGTGTGAAAAGGTAACATTTATCCATTTTTTTTTAAATGTATGAATATCACACTGAAAGGCTTGACTCCCCAGGATTTTCCTGGCACCCATTTAAGGCTGGGTCAGCCATGAAGTTTGCTGAGTTTTACAAATCTGGCTCAACTGAGACTTGAACCTATGATCACCAGGTGGGCAGGTAGGTAAGCATGTCTGAACAAAGCAGAGATCAATGAAACCTTGTGCTGCTGTAACATGTGCTGTTTCTGCTGTGGCTAGATAAATCTCTTAGTTTCAATTGCAACTTCTGTATTATGTATATATTCCAACGAACAAAGAAAATACTCACAACAGTGAAAGACTTGTCAGAAAGTGGCTGAGCTGCATGTGACAGTTCTGATTTTGTCATGTAACCTTTGAACTCTGGATCCTGAAAAATGGCAAGCAATTTATCATTTGGTTACGAAACAAATATCACAATGACAACACACTGGCCCAACCACACTTGGAATGTTTTTTAGCAATAAGCACTAAACAAGTTTCACACAAAAACTGATAGTAAGAACACAGATAACATTAAAATAATGCAGACATAGCAATATGGAGAATTTATTCCCTGGCATATTTCACCATTCCCTAACAAACATGACAAGAAAAGCAATTAATGTGGCTTGGGCATAATCCTGAGGTGCTTGGTTCCATTCTAGCAGCAGGCGAATTGGTAACATGACTTTGCATTGAGGTATCAAGAGTTGACAGTTTAGAAAGCAATGGCAAACTAATGCATGTAAAATTGGCTGCAGAAATCATAAACAGTCAGAAAATGCTGGAGGATGGTTCTATAAGGATTCACAATCAACTTTATTAGTTATATTTTATTTGACAGATCAGCTGCACTAGTGCAGAGTTGTATCAACATATAATAAAGCATGAATCCTTTCAATAGAATTACAAAAATCAGTGTCTTCAGTTACGCTGTACATCTCATCAACGGGTTATTTATTGAATTATTCAGGTGAAAGCAAAATGGCAGGTTAGAACAATGGGATCTGTGTATTTTAGTGGACATAATTCATACTGTGTGCTTCATCAAATGTTGATGTAAACTCACATCAGAAAGAGACAATCTACATTCTGTGGTCATGTGATGAGAAGGAAAAAACTGGAGTACATCGTGATGGTAGAGAAGTTGGAGGGGAGGAGAGGCAGAGGGAGACCAAGAGAACAGATGCTGGACGGTTTGACGTCATGGCATGGAAGATCATCTGCGTCAGAGTTGATTGAAAGTACACGAGACAGAAGGTTGTGGACATACATGACTACCAATGCCACACAGCAAGGACTCTAAGAAGAAGAAGAAGAAACTCTGTAGCAACACACTTGACCAGATACAGCAAAACATACCAGGGGAGAGATTCCTCAATGTAGTGTCTCCACATTATTTAAATTTACAGTCAGAAACTATTGTTTTTACTTCTCTGTTTATCCTTAAATGGGCTGCTGATATGTTGTGCTGTGTTTAAAGCTAGACTGTTATATCTGCACCTTTTGGTCAAACACATCCGATTTCAGCAAGTCCTTAACTTGTCACATTTTACAACAAATGTATGGATTAGCGCATTGTGTGTATACTACACGTTCCCAATGGGAGACTGGAACCAATACAGTGGTTAACATTGTTTTAAACCCAGAGAATAGTCTGGACAGCACTACCAAACTGCAAACCTGCATGAATCTGTACAACGACAGCACTACCAAACTGCATACCTGCATGAATCTGTACAGCGTCAGCACCAGGGCATAAGGTCCAGATCTATAGGCAGGCACATACTCTCTCCCACGGCTTCCTGCAGCCCTGGACTTTTTCTACAGAAGAGTAGAGAAATATTTCAAACCAGGAAGCTATACCTCATTTACATTACTGACTGACTTAGGCAGCACCAAAGGCTTGCACTCATACTTGGAGAATCATATCAGTGATTGAAATGAGCCTGCTGTTTGCCAGCTGTAACAGCATCAAAACCATCGCCATTTCAAGATTCTTCAATAGTTAATAAATAACTCGAACAATGGAGTCTGTTCATCAGTATTAAATAAACATCCATGACTCTCCCCAGTAAAAAGATAAACTGTCACTGGCCAGAGCAACATATCAAACATATGGTAGAAAACTCAAATTTGAACAAATCTTAACTCTTTAAGATTCGGATAACAGTAAAATTATAAATCAATACACGATGTGGTTTCCAAAGAGTTAATGGCTGGACCAGCTTTTGAACTATACGAGTGCCTTCAGCCTACAGGTGTGACAGACAAGACAAAGTTACAAATGTAATTGAATAAAGACAAGAGAAGTTGCTACCTTCTGAGGTGAACTCCTGATTTCAGTGTCAGAAGCAGACGCCTCACTGCCGCCCGTGTTGGGTAAACTTGGACTTTTACTTGTTCTAGCAGATGCTGAACCTGGACACAATAACAAACCCAAACAATTACACTAACTGTGACCGACAACCATACAGCATACAATTATGTTGTGTTGGACACCTGACACTTCGTGATGAAACAGTTTTTCTTATTACAGTAATATAGTGAAAGAGGAATTGTAGAAATGTGTTGTAAGTGTGTATGTGTGTGTACCCGCGCATATATGCAGACAGGGAATGGAGTCTGGGCACAGGTTAAGACTGCAGGTCAGACCACTGGTTCAGCAGGTGACCTGGATTCAATGTTCTTTCCCCAGTTCCTAGAAAATAAAATGAAACAGGGTTTTGCTAGAAATTAACATCATACAGGAATCAGACAATGTCATATTAACCAACACAAGAACAGAACTGTCAAAAGTCACTTGCTAATGGATATTCTAAGGACAAGATCTGCATATGTACAGACAAGTTTCTCTGTGTTAAGGAGAGGCAGTAAACACACACACACACAAAGAGACAGACGCAGAAAGATATACAGAGATGCAGACAAATACAGGAAGAGGGAGAGAAAGAGGGAATTTGGTGGGGTGGGCAGGCCTATATGCAAACGCCCAAACATACATACCAACATAAAACAGACAGTTAAGAAGACACTTGGCATATCGAAGAATAGAGGAGTTTAAACTGCATTTCCAGTTGCCCTCATGCTGTAGTTGTACATCCTTTGTAACTTCAGAACATGTCTTTGAAATGCAGTTTCTCCTGGTAAGTGCCGGGAAGTCACTGCACCACTGATGTCTGCCGCCGAATCACGAGTTCATTTCATGCAACTGAGCACCCTGCCCCCACCATCAGTGGATTTAAATTCACTCTGAGGAATTCCTATCTTTGACTGCTTACAGGTGAAGGAAGATAACTTTGCCTGTCTCAAGAAATGCAACATCTGTGACGGGCTAATCTTCATGTGCATCAATCAGTGCACCATGTGTGTGCTTGCATTTATTGTGTTTAGTCAGAAGATACTAGAAAAATCTGAAGATGTATCTGTTCTATACTCATCATCATCATGTAGCATGTTGTTCTCATCACAGCCTGCCTGGAAGTCAGTCAGTCTCTAGCCAAATCTCCCCCCCATGCACTTTCCTATCACAGGTGTCTTATATCCCGCATGTTTCCTACGTTATAGTGAGTTTCAAAAGCCCTCATACTTTAGCAAATATCTCACCTCCTGTCCGTGGATCAACATAAATTTGTGTTTGTGACCTTAGATTTCTATGTCTTTCAGATTTAACCCTTTAAAACTGCGAATGTCTTTGATCTTTGAATAAAAATTTGTATACAACACAAAAATATAATATACAGTATTAGACACATATGTGGGAACTGTTTGGAAACCAATTGGAAATACCGTAAATAAGGCGAAATGAAAACTAGATTTTTCCTAACATTTGAATTTTTTTAATAAGGACATGATTATTAACGTTGCATGCCAAATTTCAACAATTTACACCTAATGATTACTGAGTTACAGATTTTTATACTTGGGCTTTACTTCTGCAATGGACTCTAGATTTATATATTGGATGTAAGTGAAAGTCATTCACAGCGTTGTTGTCAAGTAAGCATGCATTTTTTAACACAAGATCTTGCTTTTTGGCCCCCTGGAGTTTGTGTTAACAAGGTTTTAGAGGATAATAAATCATCCCATTCCATGCACCGAGTCTGTCTTTTATCACTTCTTATATATATATATATATATATATATATATATATATATATATATATATATATATATATATATATATATATATATATATATATATATATATATATATATATATATATATATATATATATATATATATATATATATATATATATATATATATATATATATATATATATATATATACATACACATATACACAAGTGTGTGCGCGCGCATGCACAGTTGGCTTCCCAAGATATATTTACCCTTCGCTTTTCTCTTAAGCATGATTTTCATCAGAAATGGAAAAGAACTGACACAGGAAAAGAAAGACAGAGAAAGAGAAAGGAAGAGAGCAAAGGAGAAAGAAAGTGTGACACTTGTTACAGTATCTATTTTAATACAAGACTATGACAGCAACAGTACAAGATGAATGGGGAAACAGAACAGCAACAGTACAAGATGAATGGGGAAAAAGAACAGCAACAGTACAAGATGAATGGGAAAACAGAACAGCAACAACACTGAGCAGGAACCAAACAATAACTGAGGGATTGAAATAGGATGTGCCTGCAGCATTTTAAAACAATACAAGAAAACAACAAGAGCACATGAGCACATATAGTGCAGACCGCTTAAGGCAATGTCAGACATGGCGAATTTTTGTTGTGAAGAACAATTTGTTTGTCCCCAATAATTTTTCTTCGTCTTTGTAAAAAATAAATGGCAGGCTCAGCAGAATCTGTTTATTGCAAATCTTCGGATATACCAAATTACTGAACGTGTTCAAACTTTTTAATTTGATCTGCTTAAGGCAAATTATTTTCCTATACCTGGACATCTGTACAACTTTGTGGCTATTTTTGGTAACTGCATGCTTTGTCAGTGTTAGAATTTGAGTTATTTACCCTCTGAAATGGCTGAAAAGTTAAAATCAGAAAGACTGAGCTATTACAAGTGAAAAGTAGTTTATGGCGAGATTAGCAAATGTTCCTTAAATGGACATATTAACTGCGAAGGCAGAAGAGAACATTTTTGGAAGGTCGGGCTGGTTGGAAATAAAGTCCTGGGTGGTTGGATCATTTTAAAGACTTTGCACATTACAATTTTTGGTGATTCACATATTTTCTATTTTCATGTCTGTCGTATTCATTATTATATTGCACATCGTAAATTCGATACCATTTGCTTAAACTCTTATCTGGATAAGAGAAATTTCTGATAAGAAGACATGTTTATTGGGTCCCTGGGGAGTAATCCTTATCAGATCTGCATTGTATTAATGGCCGAATGACTTGGCTGGTAAAAGAAGACTCACAAGCATCATGTGTTTGACTAAAGCCAACAAAAGTGTGCACAACCACAGGATTTCTATTGTAACAAACAACAAAGTGAATAATGTGCCAGACTTCTATGTATTCTTTTGTACACCTACCAAAGTTTTGCAATAGCCTGCAGTCTTTGCCACTTGCCAGGGGAAGGGGAAACAACCTGATGGTTTTCAAGGCCTGGGAATAAACACAAAATTAAAATATGTGTGCGTGAAAGGAAGAAAATATAAAATACAATCCATGGAACACTGTGTCTGTTATACACTTGAACACAGGGCATGCATGCACACATATACACATCTATTGTACACCTGCTAACACACTGGGCGTTCACAGACACACACACATACCCATCTGTTATACCCTGCCAACAACACTGGGCATGCACGCACACATATACACATCTATTGTACACCTGCCAACACACTGGGCGTGCACGCACACATATACACATCTATTGTACACCTGCCAACACACTAGGCGTTCACACATACCCATCTGTTATACCCTGCCAACAACACTGGGCATGCACCCACACACATACCTATCTGTTATACACCTGCCAACAACACTGGGCGTGCACACACACACATACCCATCTGTTGTACACCTGCAAACAACACTGGGCGTGTACGCACACACATACACATCTGTTATACACCTGCCAACAACACTGGGCGTGCACGCACACACATACCCATCTGTTGTACACCTGCCAACAACACTGAGCGTGCACACACACATACCTATCTGTTATACACTTGCCAACAACACTGGGCGTGCACGCACACACACAGCAGTCTTGGAGAAAGTGATTACCCCTAGGTCCCCACAGGAACCCCATAACTCAAGGCTATTCAACTAAGTTTACTCAGGGGCCAAAACTTTGAATATGAGGATCATAAAGGGCCTGAGCCCAGGCATTGCGGACCATTTTTCATGCCTTCAGATGTACTGGGCATATAGGGCTAGACGTATATTTTATAGACCAATCAGCATTTGGTGGCTGATGTTGGCAACATCATGCCGGCTGCTTTTACTTCCCAGGACTTTTACCTGGTACCCATTTAAGACTGGGTCGACCGGGGAAACCTTCAGATCCGCAGGAGAGAATCTAGCTGCTACACCATGAAGCTTCCAGCCCAAGCATAGCAAGATAAGCTGTGCATGATTAGCTGGATTCTGTAGCTAGTATTTTGTGTGTGTGTGGGTTAAATCAGACGGGGGTAGCCAGTCTGAAAAACTAACCTTTTGGATTAGCGTTCTTTGGATATTTTCTCCAAATAATGCCAGTGTGTTGGGAAAAGAACAGACAGACTGGCTGGTTCTGTACCATTTTGTGGTATACTGGTGGATGGACTGGGCCTGGTGTTATTCTTCTTCTTCAGCGATCTCTGGTCATGCGCATAATCCACTGTGGGTCATAAACTGGGATGTCTTTTCAAGGTCTCTTAGGTTTCCCCAAAGCTTAGTTGTCAGTTCTACTGGGTGTTGCCATATGTCGCTCCGCAGCTCCGCCAGGAGAGGACAGTCTTGCAGGACATGTTCTGGAGTCTGTTCAGCGCGAAGGCACCGGCAGAGAGCTGTTTGGCTCATACCTAATTTATGTGAGTGTTTATTGAGTCTGCAGTGTCCAGTGCGTAAGCGAAAAACTGTGACTTGGTCTGTTCTGTTCAAGTGTTTCAGAAAATCTTTTTCGTAGTTATAACCAGTGTTGGTTTTCCAATCTGTTTCTGATTTTCTCTTAATGAGAGTTTTGACTTCTGGAAAAGATAGTGGCGGTAGGTCTGTGGTTTGTTACTGCCTTCCTTGGCTAAAGCGTCTGCGCTTTCATTTCCTTTGATGCCACAGTGTGACGGAATCCACTGCAAGTGAATTTCTGCCTTATTTGACAACATAGCAAGTTCATGTGTTAGACTTTGTAGTGTGCTGTCGGTAGGTTTGGACTCAAGGGCCTGTATAGCTGACAGTGAGTCAGTGAGAAAAACTATCCTGCCTGGTGTTATAAGGGTCCATAGGGAGTGAATGAACAGTGTGGAGGCACAAACAGATCCTTACAGTCTGAGGAGAATGGTGCCATGAGGAGTGACCAGGGGATCTGGCCAATGCTCAACACTGAGGGAAAAGGTGAGACACTGATACACAGAATCGGCATTGGAACTCTGTGCTTGCTGCCAAAGACAGAGCACTTATGCTAATGCCCTGAGTGCTGTGATTTCTATTTTTGATTTAACAATCAAAACTAACCCTGCTGGGTCATCTCTTATGACAGCTTACAGTGTTACTACTCCTTACTTCCTTTGTAATCCCCAGTAGCAAACAAGCATTATAGTTATTTTACAATATTTTTTTTACCCATTTTGCCACCCATCACAAGAAACATACAGCATAATTTGTCTCCCCATAATTTGAAACTACCTTTGCATACACATGGGCACTCTTCCATCCTTTCTCTACAGCCTCCTGCTTCCATTCTGTCAGCCACTGAGTGAACAAAGGGTTGGGATTAGGAGGCAACTTCTTCTTTCTTTTCCCCTTCAGGCTTGTGCTAGCTGCCACACCTGACTCAGACATTCTGCCTGTAGTTTTGAGAAATAAGAGAAGTATATCAGCAGAATAATCTCCCCTGTGCTGAAAAAACAAGAGAAATGTCTTGACAACCAATTAATCATCAGTTATGACACAGAAGATGAAAATATAATTAGCACATCAAGAGAAAGACAAAAGAATTACCAAACAATGAATATGATGGGAAACATGTGGACCGATGCGATGAGGACATCCAAGAGACCCCCAAAGATTAATGTTGTTGAAATAGGCCAAGGATACTGGATTAGATTCTATCCATAATACTGTGAGGATTGCCTAAGATAGAAAAGAGTGGAGGATTAGACTTCAAAAGGATCGCCTAGGATTAAAAAAAGATCAGAGGATTAGACTTCAAAGGGATCGCCTAGGATAAGAAAAAGAGAAGAGGATTAGACATCAAGAGGATTCTGCCTAGGACAGAAAAGAGTGAGGGATTAGAACTGAGATTAGACATCAAGAGGACTGCTTAGAGTAGAAAAGATTGGAGGATTACACTGTGAGCTCTATGTAACATACGATGACAAACCAGGATGATGATGATGATAATGATAAATTTTGTTTTTTTTTAATCTGAAATCCATTTTTATGGGATGCGATCTGAAAATTTTATATAATAATGATGACAAACCAGGATGATGATGATTGATGATGATGAAAATGATAAATTTTGGTTTTTTAAATCTGAAATCCATTTTTATGGGATGCGATCTGAAAATTGTATATAATAATTATTATATGTAGGCTGGCTGCCCAACACAGTAGTAACTGCCCTACTATCCTAATATGAGTTTAGTTGAGTCAAGAATTGACATCACAGCAATTTGGGGCATTCCCATGCATGCTCCGTCTCACCTTCAGCAGCCAGAGCAGTGTTCCAGTACTACTGGTACCGGCTGTAATCTGGTTATATGTCCGTCTTGCCTTTCCTCTGAGTGTAGTGAGCCGACCCTAATATGAGATTTGGCAAACATTGCAGCGGTCATCTTAGGGGATGTAATCTATTGTAAATTAATATTACTGTAAGTGCCGACCCCAGGGGGCATAATTAATTGTTTAAGTTCACATATATTAATATTTCTTCATATTGCATATTGTTTGAGATTAGTTTTAGGGTTAATCCTGACCCTAACCCAAATCTTTACCCTAACTCCAATCTCAAACAATATTTAATATTAAAGAATATTATAATGTGAATGTACATAAACAATGCAATGGATTGCCTCCCTTAAATAACAACTGATTATGTCCTCTGGGTTGCCGTTGCAAGGATTGTCAATTGACTGAGATGATATGCAAGATGTTAAGTTAGTTGTGTACCCTTTACAGGATATTGCAAAACCAACCCCAGTATTTTTTGGCTGTTTTGGGTTTTCTAGGCAAATTTTATGTTAACTAGTTTGCCACTGCTTTCTAAACAGTCAGCTCTCAGTTCCACTTTCGAAACCAACGCAAAACAAACCGTCCGCAGCTGGAATCAAACCCGGTAATGCCACAGACACCGACGATATGCAAGATATCAGAGAAAATTAAATGGTGAGCAGAAGAAAGGGTACAACTAGGCCGACACTGCCTAGCCTAGTGATTAGCTTAAATTTGAGACTTTTTCCCCCCGCTATCAAGAAACCTGTGAAATTTGATTTTTATGAACACACCTCATTTCTGTTGTGTTACTTCTTCAACATTTGTAGCCCTAAAATTACAGCCATCCCAATATGGGTGGCAATTTTCCGCTATTTTAAAGCGCAACTCCGGCTGCTGTCAGGGGCCGCCCTAATGTAACCTGAAGGTTGAAAGGGGCTTCTGAGACTTGTGGTTCTCATCAGAATTGTGGTGCCATGTGTCAAGAGTATTTATCGCTCATTGAATGGTCCTGGTAGGGTTGAACTTCATTCATTCAACCCATAACATATATTTTATATATATATACATACATACAATATATGATGTATATGTTTTAGTTTTATATATATACAAACACAATTTTAAAAATGCAAAGGGACCCTGTGCTTCTCAAAAAGAGAATTTGTCTTGTTTGGACTGGTGGTGGTTGTGGTGGTGTTTGTGGTGGTGGTTGTGGGGGGGGGGGGGGGGGGGGGAGGGGGTTGTGCTAAGACATAATTTAAAATCCCATCACAAAATGAAAATAATGAACTTATGAACATTCGTTCAGTGAACGGTTCACAAAGTTTGTTTTATATTTTTAGGTTATGGTTACGTTTACTTTACCCGTTACCCTTATCACACTGAGCCGGGAAGGCAGAGACTGGCCAGCAGGTGCCAAGGAGGTGGAAATTCAGCAATTAATTCAAGATAATGCTCGTTCAGAGGATTTGATCATGTACAAAGACGGTTCAGTGTCAAGAGGCAAAAAAAGTGCTGGGGTTTCTTAGCAAAAGTTAATGGTCAACGTTTGGTGCAGGAGAGCCTAGCATATGATACAACATCCAGCATAAGAATGGAGGTGGAGGCGGTCACTGCAGCTTTCCGCTGGTGAGAGAACACGACACACACACACACACACATGGTGATTGTAACTGACTCAGAAAGCATGCTAAGGAAGATCAGGATCAAGACAGGCACGCGTTGTGCAGAGTGGCATGCCTCGCTGTGGAAGACACGGGTGAGTATTGTCTGTATTGCATACCTTTTTCACGCCGGTGTCTTGGAAAATTAACAGGCGGACAGACTGGCTGGCTCTGCACAACGGTGGAATACGGATGCATGATAAGGCAGACGTGGTTTGGGCCGTATGGGAGAGTGTACAGTGTACAGTTCGGAGAAGCAGATGGATCACCAGTCTGGTGAGATTGATGCAGGGGGGAGTGACGAGAGGTTCTGGCAGAAGCTCGAGGCTCAGAGGAAAGGCAAGACGGACGTTTAATCAGAATGCTGCTGGCACCACTAGTATTGGAACTCTTCGCTGGCTGTTGAAGATGGAAACGGAGCTCATTTGGGAAGAATGCCTTGAATTTTGAATTGAATGCTGTGAAGTGTGATGTCGGTTCTTGAATCAAATCAAATCAATCCCGTTACCCTTACTAGTCTATAAACGAAAGCTCTTACGCGATGTTGAAGTTAAAAGTATTACAATATCCCTACAGCATAAGTAATAAGATTTTGATTTAATTACATTTAACTTCTTGTTATCCTGAATCAACAAACACTACACTTTCCCTTCCTTGCAAAACATCAACACAGCGGAATCAAATTGGCCGCCATCTTCCATTAAAAATACGAATCAGCTTCCGTAATACGTAGTCGAATTTAGGAACGTCACAAAGTTTGTTATCCACAAGAAAGACGCATTTTCATAAGCGCTCCGTCCCCATCTTAAGCAACAAGCGAAAAGTTTTAACTTCGTTAGTATCAATAACAGTCTGACTGTAATTCCGTCTTGCCTTTCCTCTTAGTGTGAAATATCGGTCAGATCCACCTAGTCATTCCCCGTTGCACCATGTTTTTCAGACTATGACAATCTTAGTGTACCTCTCCACTCACTCCCAAAAAGCATTGACAGCATCTAGCTTGTCATGCACAAATTGACCACTAAGTGGTGCAGAGCCAGCAAGTTTGTCTGCATGTTCGTTTCCCATCACACCTGCATGACCTGAAGAAATTATTCAAAGGATGTTAACAACCCTGGGCTTCTGAAGCCATAGATGCCACTCTGCAGGAAGCATACCTGTCTCTACCTTTCTCAGCATGCTTTGCGAGTCATTTAAAATCACAATATGTAAGTGTAGCTGATTCCCAAGTCAACGAAAGGCTTCAGTGACCGCCTCTACCTCCATTCTCAAATCAGATGTTATATATAAAGCTTAGCATGGCAGACAGGGCTGTCGAGTTGGTAGTTTCGCACAAATTTGGTACTATTTGACCCCTGCCGAAAAAAATTGAACTTTCAAAGGTATTATGCTCTATATTTTAGTCAACTTTATAAACTTTTCCTCAACATTTTACCTTTTCGTACTGTGTTGAACCTTTTAAAAAAAGGAGATTGAAAGTCTACTGAAAAATAAGTGCAATGCAAATGTAGAAATAAGTGTACCATTTGACGTGAATTCTTTAGTGCGTTTTTAACTTGTTTCAGTTTCAAAGACCAGTGAATGAATATCTATCCAGATAAGTAGCAGACGGTTGTGTTGCAAGTCTTTTGTCGCTGTTTAACATTCCAGCTTACTGGAATCTCAGCTTTTCCTATTTAGTTTTATTTCGAAGTTATTTATGACATATTGTGAATATGTTTATAATTGCCCCTATCCGTTTTTAAATCGCCGTTGAAGTTTCCAATATTGGCCAGCATATAAATATGAATTTGAGCTCAGATAGTGACGAAAATGATACAGATAATACTGCTAAGAATAAAAATGTTAGCAGCTGCTTACGAAAAATGTACCATTGAAGTTGCTAACAGATGAAATATGTTTTCATGGTTTGTTTTAAATAGATAAACAACGAATCTCAGTTCTTATCAAATATAAGTGTGACAGGGTGCCAAAGGGCTGTTTATAATTTTGTTTTAGCTGCAGGTGAACTAAAACATGGCATGCTCGGCCATCAGAAGGTTATAAAAGGGCACGACACCGGTCGAGAAAGCCCTAGAGCGAAATTGTTCGCCCCTAAGAAACTGAAAACAAGCTGTCAGCCAAGAACCGCTTTATAATATAAAAGGTTGTCAGGCAATTGAACGTGGAGAACTTTTGTAATTTTAGTTTATCAGGAAATCGCCCATTGCTTTTTGGCCTTTTTGGTATCTGGTTCTCGGCTGGTACTCTGGTCCGTCGTCCGGTTGTCGCATGACCGAACGTTGTCCGAACACGCACAGGTGCAGCAGACTGAGCCGAGATAGACGTTCTGTCTGACTGATTTCGTAGGTGGTACGTTCAATAGTTAGATCGGAATTTTCTCCAGTAATTAAACTCTGTAGATATAGGTACCAGTGTGTATTATCGCTCGCAGATATTTGATTTCAGGTCGCCAGAGGC